TCAAGACATATACTGAGACAAAGTAGGGACTATTTTGGATTTGTATTTTTCCTACTCCTGACTCTAGGCACCGGGCGGACTTACCGACGACTAGAAATGTCAGTCCACCCAGTCATCAACTGTGACGGCTGCAGGGAATTGGCTCTATCTATGGAGGATCCCACGTGTGCCAGAGGTCAGCAGTGATGTCGGCTCCTGACGTTGAAGCGCCCGGAGCTGAAGAGGACCTGCGGGGAGAAGATGGCGGCAACTGAAAGGGACAGGTTCAGATTAGTAGAACTCACCATTGCCTGCCTCCTGGCCACCGGACCCTTGACTGTGATGTCACGGTCAGGGGTATTTGCAAATTCTGCTTTAATGAGGGGTAAATTTAACAATACATGAATACTTAGGGCTTCTATTGTGCCTGAGTAACCACAACAACCATTTATCAACAGTAATAAAAAACCAAAGAAAGAGTTACCTGCGCTGTTTCCTTAATCCATATGTATATTTAAACAAATAGAGGTGTATATACAGGTGTATATAAAAAAATACCCCTTTCTGTCTCATTAGAGATATCTTTGCCAGAAGCTCAAGGAAGCAAGGTGAAGGGTCAGGGTAGGACCTGTCTAGGGGGGTCTGCCTTGACTTTGGCAGACGGGCATTCCCTCCAGTGGCCATAGGAGTAACTAAATGACCTTCATTTGTTTAAATATACATAGGGATTAAGGAGAGAGCGCAGGTAACTTTTTTCTTTGGTTTTTATTATATGTATTGGAGCTGATGTGTACTGTGGTCGTTGCTGCCGCCCAGGAGTGATGGGAGTGAGCGCAGGACTTTTCTCTTTGCATTTATCAACAGGTAGAGAATCAGAGGGACAGTGTTCCCAAATATTGTTCCCAAAGATTGCTGCGAAACCTGTGGTAGACGCTGCGTCTGACCATATTGTTGGAGACGTGTCAGTCAACTCTGGTAGGAACAAGCTTTTACCCTTCCAGGTGGTCAAGAATTCTTTCCACATATATAGTTCTGCCGTGGCATGCGCATCCAAGGATGGTCTATAGTTGTCATGTTTGAAATGTGGAAAAAGACAGAGAAGTCTGGATATGAAAGCCCGCCCTTGAGGAATGATGTGCATGGCAAAGTTCAAAGAACCTATGAGGGATTGTAGTTCCTTGAGGTTGCAATTACCCAGCAAAATGTAATGGTTAATGCTGTTAAGTATGTTTGTGATTTTCTCTTGAGGTAAACTAGCTTGCATGGAGGCAGAGTCTAGTTGTATACCTAGAAATGTAATGATTGTATCTGGGCCTTCGGTTTTCTTGTTGGATACCGGGACTCCAAGGTGGTCAAACAAATTAATGGTTGCTTTGAGACTCCTGGGGGGAAAGGAGTTTGCTTCAATCAGTAAGAAATCATCCAGATAATGGATGACTATGGGCCATCTAGACACATTAAGTAACAACCAGCAAAGTGTTTCAGCAAAAGTGTCGAAGATTTTGGGGCTACTTTTTGACCCAAAGGTTAAGCGGGAGAAAAAGTAATAGTTATCTTCCCATTTGATGCCATGTAAGTGCCATAGTATGGGATGGATAGGTAGTAGTTTAAAGGCATTGGTAATGTCTGTCTTACTTAGCCATGCTCCGATCCCTGCTTGCATAATGGCTGTAATAGCATGGTCTATAGTGGCATATTGTAGGGAAAACTCTTCGGAGGGAATAAGAGAGTTCAGACTCGGTGTAGATGAGGTATGAGGGGCCGACAGATCTATGATGAGTCTTTGCTTGAGGGAAGTTTTCCCTGTGACTATCCCTATGGGATTTGTGCGCCATGCCGTAAAAGGTGGGGTTTTGAAAGGCCTGAACAAGAACCCCTCTGCCAGCTCTTGGGCTAAGAGTGTGTCTATGGCTGCTGGGTTTTGTTGTGCTGATTGTAAATTAGGACATTCGAGTTGGCCTGTGGGCATATGTATAATGCCTGTATGAAACCCCTCTGAGAATCCAGAAATGAGAAATTTACCATATGTCTGGAAGGGTGATTGGTAAGTAGTGCTGAGAAGACATGAATGTTAACAGACGTTAGGTACGGTTTAGGGTACATTTTATTTGGACACATGGTATGCGCATGTGCCCTGAAACAATGTGAACAAATATGCAATAACCTGCATGCACTAAAGCTACATGTGCCCACATTGAAATTATTGCACACTTGTGATTTACCAAAGAAAATGATAGGACGACCCAGTTTGTCTCTGGTGGTTCTCTCAGTTCTACCAGCGTAGCTTGTGCTAGGTTACTGATTACGGTTGTCTGCCATGTGAGAACAAAAATTGGTAGTGTGAGTGGTGGATGCACAAGCCGGTGTTTTGAGACCTGCGAAGTGTCTACAAAATAGCTCTAGTCTGCTCCAGTTGATACGGGTACCATACTGAGAGAGAGAGCTCCAGACACCTTAGTGGAAAAAGACCTATGGTAGTCATAAAAAGCAGATCCACCATATTTGTTCCCCAGGTCCACCA